GAGAGAGAGAGAGAGAGAGAGAGGGAGAGAGAGAGAGAGAGCATTCCACTTATCCCAAGAACAGTTTGTCTTACCTCGATAATGCCCTAACCCCCCACCCACCCAACCTCTCAGCCATCAGATACTGTCTTCTTGTTCTCCAAGAAACACATTGTGAAACATTGCTCCGTTCTTCCAAGACGCCAACACATCGTTGACAATGGGCCAAGTTCCTTCAGTCACTTCTTTTTTACAGAGACGGGAGGAAAAGTGCCTCTGTCATCTGCCTCGTTTATACCCCGTACCCACTGGCTGAATCCTATTGGATCGGGTCGGGTCTGGTCGATTAGTGATGGCTTCAGTGCGCACATTCCTTGTTGTATCAAATTTGACCCAGTAATTAAAGAAGAGAAAACTTTGACCGACGCGCAGTGTTATTGTGCGCAAAGCTTACCGTTCACAACACAGCCATTTCCTTCAATAATGGCTTCAAGCGCAGACTCGCATATCACGGTTGCTGCATTAAGAGATTTTTGAATCCCACAAACATTGGAGATTTCGATTGCTCTCTATCAGCCTCTCTAAATCAATACTGCCCATTAAGGATATCGTATTCCGCGCGTCCCCCCCCCCCCAAAAAAAAAACCCAACCGAACCTGAACCTGACCTTGCGGCTCGTAGGCTACAAGCCTTTTGATATATCTAGGTTGTTTTAGTTTTAGTATGGTTTTACGGCGCTCGCAACTGCATAAGATCATATGAGCGCCAAGGGATGGGTGTCAACACAGAAGTCCAAACTGAGAATCAGGCTTGCTCTGCTCACCTCTCTGGTCTCAACAGCACAAGGTCTGCTTCGACTATCAAGGCAGTCACAAGAGAGTGACCAACATGCAAAAGAAGTAGGAGGGGGGATAACGTAGGTGGTGTTCTGGCAGTGTGAGCGTGACATTGATAAATCAGCCCATTTACAATTCTACTGTGCATAAGAACATGTTAATATCCCCTTTTGGGTTTTGAAGATCACCGTCCAATTTTGATGAATTTTGGTATTTTTTACATTACGTTTTCTTTTTAACTTAGGTTCCGAACGGGTAGATCTATTGATTATAGCTTTTGTCCCTCCGTGAAGTAAAATCTAGCAAGCCCTGACGAATGAAATGAATCAAATTGTCATTGAGCACTGAGAAAACAGTTAACAGAATGTCGCGGTAAAGGAAATCCCTCGGTGTTTGAGACTACCAAAACATGTCGACCCGAGATGCCAAACTCAAGAGTTTCAAGAGAGTCCATTTAATTTTAATGGTAAAAGTAAGCTGGGATTTACTTGACCAACGCACACCAATGCGGGTCTCTTCTCTCGGACTCAGTGGGGTACTTTTGGGTCGCTGTGATCTTCAGTCTTGCTTCTTGGAAGCGGAGGACCCCGGGGGGGGGGGGGGAATTAGCTGTTACTTTAAGATCAATTAATTGCCATTTTAAATAACCAAAAAAAGAAACAAAACAAAACTCAACAAAACAAAAATAAGCTCAGAAATATTTGTGTCAAAACGGGTACTTATTTAGATCAATAGGGACGAAAGTCTAAAATCATTTACATGTTAGTATAATGCGGTTGAGATGGGGGGGGGTAGGGAATTTGTGATGTATAGCTTTTATTGCAGCCCACTCGCTCATAAACAATTACACAGACACATACAGACATGCACACACAAAAATACACAAACATGCATTCACGTTGTGTGCGCGCGCACAGCTCACATCGATACCCCTGTATTCTCTCGAAATAAATTTTACTCTAGCGTCACAGAGCAATTGGCGCTGAGCTACTAAACGCTGATAAAATTATATGTAAAAAAACACGAAAAAACGAAAAAATATATTTAGGAGTATGGACCAGGTTTCTTGTGAAAGTGGGTGTGTAAGAATTCATTTAGCCGCACCCTATCTGTTTTATTCAGCAACCACCAGTAAAGTCTTTGCGATTGTGTCTTTTTGTTAAAATACTCTTCTGGGAATGATTTTTATTATCAGCTCATGTGGATTCTTGTAGCTCTTTTTGGAAGAGGGCTGTGGACAGCAAGCTTTAATATAAGAGTAGAGTTCAAATCTGAATGTAAGATTTTTTATACTCATCTATTTGCATTCCAGCAACACAGCGTCTTGGAGATTGTAACAGTAGAGTCTTAAACTAGTCTACATAGTCTGCTTTCATGTGGAAAGGCATGGAATTTCTCCCGGCACTTTGTGACTTGTGTGTGTGTGTGTGTGTGTGTGTGTGTGTGTGTGTGTGTGTGTGTGTGTGTGTGTGTGTGTGTGTGTGTGTGTGTGTGTCTGTCTGTTTTTAGCTTACAACTCAATCCCGACAGAGATGATTTTAATCCTGTTCTAAATGGCTGTTGTACGTCGTCTCTACTGGGAAAAAAAGAGCTAATACCCGTTTTAACCTACATTGAAAAGAAACCCAAGCCACTCTTTGCAAATCCTAGCAAAAACCCTTAAAAAGGCCACTTCGAAACCAAAGGTTTTTGATGGTGTTTTTATTTTAGTTTGTTTGTTTGCCTGTTTGATTGATTGATTGTTTGTTTGTTTGTTTGTTTGTTTGTTTGTTTGTTTGTTTGTTTGTTTGTTTGTTTGTTTGTTTGTTTGTTTGTTGTAGGATTTTTTTTAGTTCTAAAGAGAAAATGGAAATCGAATGAACACACTCTGAGAAACTGAAAACAAAACTTTACGCACCAAGCCGAAAGATCGAATCGACAAGAAAAGAGCTTATAGAGGAATTCCTAATACAATGTAAGAGAGACCTGCGATTTTGATCTAAAGGAGTTAAGATACAAGTGGGCAGTGGTGAAGACTATAGCTCAGGACAGAGTAGATAAAGAGCTCAAGTTGGTGGCCTATACTCTTGATGATGATGATGATGATGATGATGATGATGATGATGATGATGATGATGATGGTTCTCTGCGTGGATCTACAGGACCTGAACGCCTGTGTGGAGATCCCACTATGAGAACTACTCATTTGCACCGACTTGCTTTAACGAGCAGATAAAAGCAACCAAAAAAACAAACAAACAAAAACACACAAAAACTAGTTACTCAATGAGTCGCATACTGTTTTGTTGTGATTCCTATTTTGCAAGGAATTATTAAAGTAGAAATATATCATGGCAGCTTTCTTGCACTTACTGCAACCGATATTTCCAGGCATCCACGCTGTACTTACCTGAAGCGTTATCATCACAGGACTTTCAGATCTTCGGTGTCGCACTCAGTCCACTTAAGTCCGTTTGGGTATTTTTTAACGCCATAGACAAAAAAAAAACTAGGGTTGTTCTAATCAGAAATCATAAAAAGCATGAAATTATTAAGTTTTGACCATAACAGTTGATCTGCATTTTTGTGATGTTGAAAAGAGCATCCGTGATAGAGTTTGGAAGGGTGTGAAAACAGAAAATTCTAAAATTACAGAACTGAATAGAGTGCGACAGTGACGAAATGTTGATCAGAAGAGCACAGATATGTTGTAATGGCATTTGTTGTTGGAACTGTGCCTACTGTATTATTATCATCTTTTGTGTTTGTCTTTTGGCAGTATTTTTCGTTTTCTTTTTTTCCGGGGAAAGGTGTGTCTAAGTCTTTATTTCAGTGTTGTTTTTCGTGTAGCTTTCTCTATTGTTTTTTGTGTATGTGGGTGACTTTTCTGTTGGTTTGTTCGTTTTTGTTTTGGTCGCGGATGTCTGGGCGGATATGACCTCACAGACGGGATATTTGTCTAGTCTGGCTCTACAATCTTTAAAACTTAATGCGTCCCAATGGACTCCCCTTCGCCACGGAAGTATAATGTGTCCTGGGGTCTCGGGAGATGAAAGTGCCAGCATTTTCTCCATCTCGCAGTTTTTATAGTATTAGGAGAAGAATTTCCTTTTGGTGTGCATTATGTTTTCTGTGAATCTTCCATTGCGAGACCGTCCTCCCTGAAGTGGCATTTTGAGTTAGATGTTATTGCTTCTGTCGATGCTGCTGTTGCTGCAGAGAATACAAACATTTTAGTTGTTGTTGTTGTTGTTGTTGTTATTGATGGTGTTGTTTTTGTTGTTGTTTGCGCTGTCGCTGTCGAGCCTTCTCCTTCTCCTCCTCACACGTAACCATCATCATCCCCCTTCTCCTTCTCCTCCTTCTCCTCGTCTTCCCTCTCCTCTTCCACTTTCTCTCCTCCTCCTTATCGCCCTCCTCCTCTCCATCCTCCTGTTCCTTATCCTCCTCAGCCTGCCCCTGCTCTGTCTCCTCCTCCACGTACTCTTCCTCCTCGTCTTCCTCGTTCTCGTCTTCCTCCTCTTTCTCATCTTCCTTCTCACTAACCTCCTACTGCTCTGTCTCTTCTTCAACCTCCTTTGCCTGATCCTCCTCTTCTTCCTTCTCCTCCTCCTCCTCCTCCTCCCTTTTCTCTCTATTCTCCTCGTGACCCCCTTCCTTCTGCTCCTCCATCTCCAGGCATAACTTGCACAGTAACATAGTAACAGAGAAGAGCAACTACATGTATATATGCTGTATGTAGGCTTTTTATGTCTCTCAGAAATGGCGTTCAATCGGAGCCCTGATCGGCAAAACGTCACTGAGTTTAAAGGGGCGAAAAAAAAAAATTTTTCGAAAAATTGTTGGGCTTTTTTTATCCCCTACTGATAACATCCTCAACTCCAAGCCCGTATTCATTCATTCATTCATTCATTCATTCATGCATTCATTTATTCGTTCATTCGTTCGTTCGTTCATGCATTCAATTATATATTTTTGTCTGCTTGTTTTTTAATGTTCTTTATGTTCTTTTCTTTCAGTTTGCGCAAACTCCACCAGAAGCAATGACGTCATGAACCTGACCGCCGTGACATCGGATCCGGCCGTGGGCGTGGTGACGTCAGAATACCCGAACTGTGTTCGGGCCGTGTCGGAGACGAGGGGTCAGCTCGGCCTTGACCGTCAGCCCAGCAGGCGGGGCGTGGGTGACGAGGAGTCCGACTTCGGAGCGCTTGTCTACATCGTGGTGGTGCTCATCTTCTATTCCACGGGTCAGTGAGTGGACGGACGACGATGCATACGGAAGAAGAAGAAGAAGAAGAAAAAGAAGAAGAAGAAGAAGAAGAAGAAGAAGAAGAAGAAGAAGAAGAAGAAGAA